CTAAAATCTTCCTTGATCCCAGGTAAACTGGAAAACAGATTTTATGGATTTTTTAAACCTGTTTCATTCAGTTTTCAGTTTACAGATTCTTCTACTTCAGGGGTTAGCAACATTAAGGCCCAGGGGTGAATTTTTCACCCCCAAAATATCTCTCTGCTGCTGTGATATCCCTATAGCCAGCCAGGGGAGAAGTCCCCAGTGCAGACATCAGATAAGATAGCCATAGATTGTCCTATGCAGCCCGCCCTTGTAAGTCCAGGCACAGAGGGCATAGAAGGGGCCTAAAGGGGTAGGCCTTTAGCACTCTGGGGCTTCTGAGTGGCACTCCTGAATAACTTAGATCAGTCCCAATGGATGCAGTCCAAAATTGGGAAGGAGCAAATGTGGCTTAAAGAATGGCACAACATAGGGTAAGATTTTATGTGTTCGGTGTTAGTGCTGATGCAGAAAACAGAGACACCGTGTCAGCTGATGGGGTCAGCACACACACACACTTTATAATTCTCCTTAGCTATCTAGGTCACAGATACAAGCATGGTCTTCACCTAAAACTTAGGCCGACTTAGCTATATCACTCACGGGTGCAAAAAATTCACTCCTGTGGGGGAAGTAAGTAAGCCAACCTAAGCCCTGATATTGGCACTGCTAGGTTGATGGAAGAATGCGTCTGTTGATCTAGCTAGCACCTCTTGAGGGGGTGGATTAACTACAACGATGGAAAAACTCCTAGTGTCACCATAGCACATCTGCAGCACCATAGATGTGTCGCTGTAGCGTCTGTAGTGGAGACACACCCACAGTCCAGTGGAATAGATAGGAGTGGAAATTTGGGTGGGCCCCAAGTTTCTGGTGGACGGGCAATGACAGACAGTGCTAGCTCAGTTTCTCCCCGAACGCTACACCCTCTTCCTAGTCCTGGTGTCTCCAGACATCGGACTTCACCTGGCAAGCTGGGCACGTGCATGGAGCGGCTCAGAAAATGGCCAGGCAGAGCTGCCAGAGCATAGCTTTCTGAGGGGCGGGCACATAGCTCCATCCTGGATTTCAGGTGCCCGGGTGATGCTCTGGGTTGCTGTGGCAGCACTATACCCCAGCTCAGATTTGGGTGGACCTGGATGCTAAGTGTGTGGGCCGTGGCCATGCCCCTGCCACATCCTGTGGTGCAGATTGTTATCACATATGTCCATCTAAGTCCTGAATTGGGTGAAGCAATCATGGAATGGATTTTTATTACAGCACAAGGAGAAGTGAGCATGGGATCCTTGTTTTTAAATGTCATCATTAAATAAGCATCAGCCATCCAACAATCTGACTGGCTGATACCAATTCCATTTGGCAGAATCTGGTATAATTTTCAGGTTTCTCATTTGTTTCAAACAAATTCTCTCTCTTCACCAGGTCACATCTTCCTACACGGGTTCACCACAAGGACAGGTGGGATCTCTTATATACTAACGCTCAGCTCCTTAAACCTCTTCAGCAGTGCTAAGCGGAGAGATCCAAAGGCTGTGGTTAAAGAAAACCTACGCAGGTTAGCTAATACTGCAGGTTTTGACCCAGAGACATTTCACCGTGTGAAGGTATGTTTTCAGATAGCAGTGCACTCCTATACTAACTAATCAGAGCTTGCTATGCGTAGCAGTGAATGTTTTTTTTTAACTATGCATTAGTCTTCTCTTTCCTAGCAAGAGATTATAAGTGGTAGGACAACTTTTTAAGACAGTTATTGTGGCAGTTAATCGTGATGAAACTGTCATCAGAGCTGTCAACACACTTGATACTATATAGAGAGGAAGATTCAGTCCCTCTCCCAAGATGTTTGTTCTAATAGACCATACAGTTCAGTGACATAACACCATATATGACCAGATAAAGATCCAAAATCAAATATGCAGATATCTTTCTATTTAAAAAATTCATTTCTTTCTCAGACAGATGGGGTTGCACACCAGAGGTGTGTTTTAAGAAGGGATCTGAAGGCAAAGACAGTGGTTGTTTGTTGAACAAGAAGAGGGATGGAGTACTAAACATAAGGGTTGGCCTGAAGAGGGTGTGAACAAGAGAGCTTGAGAAAGGGCATTCAGCAAAGTATGACTTAATTTTTTTTTCACTGCCTCATAACTGTGCTTCATCTGTCTTTGTATTGACAGGTCAATCATGCCAGTGATGTTTGGATTATGGGAAAGCCCCAGCCTGACAGCTATGATGCAATAATAATGAATCAGAAAGATGTTACAATAGCAGCTCCCAGCGCTGACTGCATACCTGTGCTTTTTGCTGATCCTGTCAAAAAAGCCTGTGGAGCTGCTCATTCTGGTAAGAGCATCTAGTATTCAGTTCACATAATCAAAGAAATATAATACTAGGAGAGTACTGGGAATGGATCCCTTGAATAGTAAACGGGATTAATAATCAAGTAGTAAGGTTGGGTTTAGTGAGAGCCAGTGAGTGAAGGATTCCAGGATGAATCCCTTAACTCTTCCTTTCTAGGCTTCTTAATATAGTTCTTTTTCAAAGATGTAGAACTCTTCTAAAAAGCATGTAATAGTTAGCTGGATTCCAGTCAAACACAACACAACTTTACCTGTTTCTAACAAGGTTTGTGTTTGTGAATTGCCCAGTTTTTGGTGTGAGCATCAAACATTTCAATCAGATTATGCCGGAGGTCCGTGGATCTAACAGCTCTTAGGAGGCCCATCAGAGTGGAGCTTCCCTCTGCAGGCTTTATACATACAGGAAGGATGTATGTGTGTAGGGAGCTACACCGTGTGTGCGTGTGTTATGCGTGGGGGAAGTGAGTGGTGATGGGAACTAAGCAAATTGACAATTTTAAGCACATGGACAATTTTAAGAGGTTGAAGTTTCATATCTCGAAATGTTAAGTGTTCAAAGTTTAATGTGGATAAGAGTTTGTGCATGCTCTGTCCCTTTCTATGTTCCTCTTTCAGTTACCTGCTCCCTCCTTCTCTGACCTCCAAGCTGCTCCACCCTGTCCATTCTCTGCCAGTCTCCTGTGCCCTCTCCATGCACCCCCTCCATCTGTTTCACCCTCCCATTCCAAGACCAGGTAGCATGTCACCCAATCCCCTCTCTCCAATCCACATGCTTTGTATACTACCATGTCCCTGACCAGTCACATATTCTCTCCCCCATTTTTTTCATAGAAAATGTTATTTCCCTTCTCTTTAAATAATATTTTTCCACAGTGCTGTCATGTGAGATTGTAAAGAAACTTTTACAGTATTTAACCCATGAGATATTTCAGCACAGAGAGAACAGTGAGGTGTAATTAAATGGTATAAAATCAGGGCTGGCAGCAAGGCATTCCTGAGTTCTAAGCCCACTTGTAATATTGACTTCCTCTGCCCTTGGGCAATTAAAGGTTCCATTCTTCTTCAGTTTCCCCATCTCTAAAATGGTAATACGGCTACTTCATAAGAATGCTCTGAGGACTGTTAATGTTTGCTAAAAGCTAATTATTCCTCCATGTATTGGGCTTGTAGATCCTTAATAATAATAATAATAATAATTAATTTTCTGTAACCATTCAATTTAAAAATAATCTTGCAGTATTTTTTCCCCTTATGTTTTTTCCTAGGATGGAAAGGCACTTTGTTAGGAGTTGCTATGGCTACAGTAAATGCTATGATAACAGAATATGGCTGTAATGTTAAGGATATACTTGTGGTGCTGGGCCCATCTGTTGGACCGTGCTGTTTTACACTTCCTCAGGAATCAGCAAAGGAATTTTACAATCTTGATCCAAAATGTGTCAGACAGTTTGAATCTCCAACTCCCTATGTTGATATTAGAAGGGCAACACGGTAAGTCTGATGTGTGTTTTTCTATGCTATAGTTTGTTGTGCTAAGCAGCCTAGGGATGAGGACAAAAGACTGAATCAGAAGAAATTTAGGTTCTAGTCCCAGTTATAGTCACTGATATGGAGTGTGATCCTGCTGGGTAGGAGTTGAGGTCCCTCAGAATTTCATGGGAGCATTGCAGTATCAAGCCCTTAATGAATGAACCTAGGGATGATATTTGCTCACCTTGTGTACTGCTCAATCCCACTTGAAAAACTGGGTGGGATGGACACAAAAAATATCCCCACTGCCTCCAAGAACACCATATACTGAACTTTGCTTTCCTGGATAACAACATTACAAGCAAAGTTTTGTTATGCTTTGCATGTGTTGCCAAAGTATGGAGTTTCCTCTAATAGCAAGTCAGGATAGAACCAACTCTTCTAGTTTCAAATGTTGCTATATTTCAGCTATTTTATGCCTTAAGAGTAGCTTCTTTGTTCTATATACATGTTCAAGCTTAAGTATGTGTCCTAAAGACTGAGCAAACCCACTGATTTTAATCTAAAGAAAAAATGGTATTAACACAGTTTGTCTTGCACTATTGCAATAGCAGTAACACACTGGCTTAAGGAACGTACCATTTGATAAAATGTTCCATCTTTTCTTTTTCTTCCTTTCTTTAAGAATTCTTCTAGAGACTGGAGGGATTCTGCCTCAGAACATACAGGATGATTCTGTCCCTGACCACAACCAAAGTCTCACTTTCTGCACAGCATGCCACCCTGATACATTTTACTCTCACAGTCGCGATGGCACTAACTTTGGCATACAGTTTGGCTTCATATCGATCAGAGACTGAGGTAGCGTCTCTTATCCTTGGGTAGTAACCGGGCAATAACTGTTAGCATTGCCTGACATCTTACTCTCCTGACAGTAGGCCTCTCCTCTTTCCTTCACCTGATAAGTTCTAAGGAAGAAGTGGACTTATCATAGGGATTTGTACCTGTTGGGATGCCTTGTTCCCTGTGGGAGGCGAGACCAGCAGCAGCCAGGTAGACCTCGATAAAGCTCAGAAACTTTCTTATTCTCCATACTGCTTGGTCTTAGTAGCCAATGCTGTCTTACCAGCTTGAGCTTACTCTAGACACTATCTTCTCTGCTTCATCTAAACTCAAGAACCTAGTTACATCACAAAGATACCTGTTTTAACCGCCTTATCTGTTCTGCTAGTAACTAACTATGCACCCTTCTTATGCTCCTACTGAAAATGTGCCTCTGGACATTCTGGTTTCACAATAGACGTTATTGATCATCATATACAAATGAAAAGAGCCTCCCAGTACTGTAGTCATTTATCTGCCAGGTCCATTACTAGGAGGACTGTAACCTGCAGCGTTCTCTGGCTTAAGTCTTGGGGGAAGTGTCTGGAAAATATTTTCTATTTTTCAACCAACCCCTATTTTTCAAGCCGTCCCTTGCATCGTCCAGGATAAATTTTGCCCCCTAGGGGTCAGGGCTCACTCACTCGGCCTTTCCATCTCTTTAGCCAGGATAATGCTTTGTCAGAGCAGATCTGTGTAGCTGCAGTTTGGTGTTCCAAAGCTACTTTTATAAGACACTGTAAAGTAGACACTTATTATGACTGTGCCAATAGCTCTTCGGCCAAGTCATTCTGGCATCTGTGCTTGAAAAGTAATCTGTTCTTCTTGTGGGGCTGCTATTCAGTTCCTAGCAAATTAGAGACTTTCCTTGTCCACTTGGAAATAGATTTTTTTTAAAAATCTGTGTCTTTTTTTGTAAATGGACTTTATGGACAAGGTCAGTATCTGCTGAAACTATTCTTTAGCTATAATCTCGGCTTCTGGCTGTAGCTTTAGTGCTGTAACATTTGCAGTTGGGAGGTTTAAGATCATTCTGCAGTTCCACCAGGTCGCTCATGCCTGTTCAAGTGTGACATTAGAGACTTACATTGTCTGTTGGAAAAATTACCATTTATAGGTAAGAAAGTTATCCAAGTCACAGAACAAGTGCAAAATGAACAGTTCCACTGAAAATTTGCTCCCACTGAGCCTCACAAGCCATTGTTACCATCATTGTTCATTAGTTCTGTTACACTACATTACTTAGACTATAGTTCAGAGCAGGGACCAGCTTTTTTGCGTGTTTGTACAGCACCTAGCACAATGGTGCTGCCACCATACAATAAATAAATAATAATTGAGAGATCCCAGCCAAGTCAGCGTCCCATTGCACTAGGCGCTATATAACAAATTTATTTACATATAATCAAATACAGGCCCTGCTCCAAAGGGATTATAATCTTAGTTTAAAACAAGACATAAAAGGTGCAGGGAGGACTGGATAACAATAGTCTGAGCATGTACTTTCACAGCTGTGTGCACAGTTTGTAAGCTTAGAGTTTTTTGCTGCTGTTTGTATTAATAAGCAGATCAGTAGTAGCAGCCGAGGCTCACAACCTCTAGGGGAACTTTTAACATGTTTCATAAATTATTCTGACATACTTGTTTAATGACCCTTCCCATCCATTAACTTCTAGTGTGAATTTATAACATTTCTCTGAGCTATTATCAAGTTAGTAAATGGTATTATTAATTATTACTGGGATGGGCTGTGAGGAGAGTGTGAGTATATTATCATACTGAATACTGTCTTCTGTAAAGATACAGTATAATTAACATTCAGTGCAGTTGTAAATTATGGACAGAGCTTTCATTTGCATTGATATATTCCAATTATTGAACAGGCTTTAAGAAATGAATGATCAAGTATTATATTAGAACAGCGCTGCTTCAGCATTGGGCAGTAACCTTCAGGTCTCTGAGGTGGGTGTGTCGATTTTCCTGTGTGGTCTTCTGGTCAGAGCTCGAGAGGTGTAATAAGCTCAAGTCCTCTGTGGATTGAGCAGAGAGTAGCACATGTAATACGCACTGACAGGTGTAACGCACATTGACATATGCACCAAAAATTACAACCACTAAAATGCCGGAAGGGTTTCACCTTTCCCAGACAGCACTGTATTTCGCACAATGGGTCATTTCTCCCTTTAATTTTTTTTCTTCTTGTGATTATCTTCTGCTTCTTTTTGTATGGTGAAATTCACAAATGCCAAACAGGCCCCTGTAAATGGAATAAGAGAGCTTCATATGACTGTCCGGAGCAGGTGTTTAAGGAGACAGAATCTACCCTGTGGGGATGCAGTGCAGCCTTTGCACAGTCTGTCTTTCTATGCAGCAGTTCTTAGACTGGAACCATGTGTGGAGCTATTTGTGCTCTCTCACACATAGCCTCAGCAGTCCCCTCTAAAATAGCATAGTGCCAGCATGGAGCCTACCTCCTGAGCACAGGATCTTTGTAAGGGTCCACCAAGCCATACCCCATATGATGGTTTCACAATGGTCCCACTTTATCAGCCTATATAGCAAACAAGTCAACATTCCTAGATTCAGTCTATGCTGTCCTCATTTCACTTCATGGATCAGTTGCTGTTGAGTAGTGCAATGAGAGAGATGAACTGCATTCACTTATCCTGAGGCTGCGTGCATTAGAATCATGTGTGCCCTGATTTTGTCCTTTGAGTCCCATAGTCCTTCATGAACTTGGGTCTCTTGTGTGACAACGTAACAGTACGCTACATTGATGGCCTTCCTAAATTCTACATGTGACAGGAAAAATAATGTCTTGCTTTGCTGGAAGGGACACCTGCCTCCAAAGAATCCTGGCAACCCAAGTGTAATACAGTTTAACTGACTTCTTGTACTTTCCATTTCCAGCAGACATTTACCAGAGTTTTCCAATGAGTGAATAATTTAGGCATTCATTTGAAGTATTTAATTTAAGAATAATTTTAGGCATGTGTATCAAATACACTCAGGATGTTATAAATTATTATACAGTACTGCACATTTTTGTAACACTAAAAGGTTTCACTTGCTTGCTTTCCCTTTAATATGCAATTTACATTTCTTGGTGCTGCTAGAAAGCATCATTATGTGTTTCCTAATGTCACTCTGAGAAGAATAGGGAGTTAGCCTTTAAAGTGATCTTTCATTACAAAATGTTTAATTTACAGTAGTATCACGTGTTACAGATATTTTGCTGAATCTATTTGCGTGAGTTCTCTCCCTGTAATCCATTCAAAAGAGACCCCAAGAAGAATTTCAGAGGCTTGATCTATCAAGAGCAATGTGGCTGAAATATCTATATTCCACTTTTACAAATGTGACATCATATCTCTAAGGCAACCTGTATTCTGGCAATCATGGGAACAAGGACACTGCATGGATTTCCATTTGATTCCTGCAACATGAAAGAGATCTGAGACAAAATCAATATGGACTGTGCTAAACTATTAGGATTCATTTTCACAATTAATTCTACCTAAGGGACTGTTTCCTTTATTCTACTGCAAATGTAATTCAGAGCCAGTAAATGTTGCATGAGATTGTTTTTCTAACAGTGTCATCTCTACATTTAGCATAGGACTGAATGACTATAATGACTTATAATCATTTGACATCCTTTATTTTGAAAGTAGGGAACCTAACATAGTACTTGAACATGTCTCTTTTATAATGTGGGCACTAAGAATTCTTTATATTTAAATATGCACAATTTATTTTTTCTCATGTGATATAATGCCTTTGGGCAGCGTTGCAAAATTTTGCTTTGGTGTTTAGTTAAAACAAATGTAATACGTCATTGCCAATGGTACTATAGAAACCTGAGATAAGTGCTTCAGTGCTTCCCTTGGAGGCACTAAGCTCCATCTTAACGGGACTCTCATAGATGTTGTCATCACTGTGTAATGAAAATATTTTGTTGTTTTTATCTGAAAGACCCTGGGCCTGATTCCCCTAAACTGATATAAATCACAAGTAACTCAGTTAAAGTCAACATTGTAAAACCCAGTGTGATGGGAGAATCAGGCCTCATGAATGTTTTTAGTTACAATGCTTTATATAATCTGTATTAAAATGATTATACGGATAATTGTGTCTCAGTTCCTTCCTCTAGGAAATTGTGGTAGAAAGCTTTACGAGAGTTTCAGGAGTTCACCTGACTTAGACAAGCCACCATAGGCTCATGAATGTTTATTTCCAAATCTGCATTTATATTGTGTGCAGTCCCTTTGGCTGGTACTACACTGAGATATTTCTCAAATTTTCCCACCATTGCAATATTATAGCTACAACTACATCAGTGCTAGCCATGGGGGGAACACTAACATAGTCTGGCTATTGGTGTTTATATTGTCTAACCCTGCTTAGAACAAGCATAAATGAGACAAATGTAAAAATACCATACAGTAATGGTAGGGTTTTTTTTTTCAAGAAATGCTCACCATAGACAAGGCCACTGAATTGAGAGCAGAGACTATAAATCAGTAATGAATGTATTATGTATCTCTTGTTTTTCACAAAATCTAATTTCTGAGAGAAACAATTTGTTAGGGTATGCAGTCCACCTCCCTGCCAAGGCCACATGGTTTGTGGTCTAGTATCTTGTCCATTCTAAGGCCATGTCTACACTCGCACTCATGTCAGCAAAACGTCAGTCGCTCACGGGTGTGAAAAAAACACACCCCGAGTGATGTACGTTTTTCCGGCATAAGTGCTCATGTGCACAGCGATATGTTGGCAGGAGACGCTTTCCTGCTGACATAGCAACCACCACTCATTGAGCTGGTTTTATAATGTTGACAGGAGAGCTCTCTCCCATTGGCATAACGCGGCTACACAAGCGGTCTTACAGATGTGTCGCTGTAAGCATTTAAGTGTAAACATGGCCTAATTTTATATGTTCTGAAATACGGGACTGTCATCTGTTCCTCTTGGGAGGCCATTCCAGACTATTAATACATCACTCTGTCAGAAACTGTGACATTCAACTAATGTTTCTTTCTCACTTTCTCTTGTTTCTAGAGCTGGCAAAATATCTTAAAGAGAACAGTTTTCCGTTGTAACATGAAGTGTGGTTGAAATAGAAATACTTAATGAAATCATGTCAATTTTCCCATCATTTTGTTTTGGAGAAAAAATGTGTGTGGGGGTGGAGGGCGGGGGAGTTCTGACAATGTCAAAATGTCCCATTTCAACATTTTTTTAAATGAAAAGTTTCAGTTTTTCCTTTTGAAACAACTTATTTTGTATTGTATTGTGTATTATAATATAATCTAAAACAAAGTTGTAATCATGGAGAATTTCAAAACGTTGGGGTTTCATTCTGAATTATAATAGAATTTTGTTTTCAAAAATCTCAAGGCCCTTTGCAAAATGGAACTTCTGTTCTCCTCCCAGCTCGAATTATTACTTGTGCATACCGCTCTGAAAGATCCAAAATAACCCCTCTTCCTCCTTGGTGATTAC